GCTTTCTCTGTGATGCCCATGGTAGAGAGTGCGGACAAAAGGAAGCCATGGTTGACAGTGTCAAATGCAGCCGATAAGTCGAGCAGGATAAGTGCTGAGGATTTGCCAGTCGCTCTAGCTTCTTTTAAGGATTCAGTCACTGCTAACAGAGCAGTTTCAGTGGAGTGGCCCTTTTTGAACCCAGATTGGTAAGGGTCAAGCAGACAGTTTTGTGAGAGGTATTCTGTAATCTGCTTGAAAGCCACCCTTTCAATGATTTTGGACAGAAAATGGAGGAGAGAGATAGGTCGGTAGTTCTCCACATGATTTGGAGGAAGAGATGGTTTTTTTTAGCAGCACTTTAACCTGAGCATGCTAGAGAAAGATGGGAAATGTACCGGATGTCAGTGATGCATTGATCACATGTGTGACTGCTGCGGCTACTGTGGGAGCAATAGCTTGGAGCAGCTTAGTTGGAATGGGGTCAAGTGGGCATGTAGTAGGGCGGCTGCACGTGAGAAGCTTGGACACACAGTTCTCAGTGACAGGGGAAAAAGAGGAAAATGAAGAAGTAGGGTCTGAGATGGTTGGGCTTGAAGGAGATTGTGGTAGTGAATGTTCAGGAGTGGCCAGTTGAGAAAACTGTTTTCTTATCGCTGCCACTTTGTCAGTGAAGAATGAGGCAAAGGTGTCAGCTGATAGATTGTTGGCAGGAGGTGGAGACGGAGGGTTGAGCAGAGTTTTGAATGTTGAAAATAGTTTCTGAGAGTCAGTAGAGCTGAGAATTTTGTCAGTGTAGAAAGCTTTCTTTGCATCAGTGATGCTGGCAGAGAATGAGGACAGTAATTCCTGAAATTTCAATAGATCACCAGGATGTCTTGTTTTGCGCCATTTCCATTCCGCAGCTCTAAGATTGGTGCGTAGAGCCTGGAGGGTATCATTTAGCCAAGGGTGCGACTGAGAGGCTCTAGCAGGTCTAGTGGCTAAAGGACACAAGTTATTAAGGCAAGAGCCGAGTGTGGAGCAGAGTGACTCAGTGGCTTCATTCACTTCATAAGCAGAGAATGCGCTGGGAGATGGAAGAGTGGAGGCAACAAGAGAGGAGAAGTAGTTGGGTGCCAGATTGCGGAGGTTGCGGCGGAATGAGACCATTGGGGAGGAAGCAGTGGACCTCCCTTGTAGAGTCGTGCTGAAATGGATGAAGCAATGATCCGAAAGATGCAGCGGTGTGACAGAGATTGTGTCTATGGCACAGTTTCTGGAGAAAATGAGGTCAAGTGCTTTTCCAGCTTTGTGAGTTGGAGGGCTTTGTACTAGTTTTAAATCAAATGATGACATTAGTGACAGGAAGCCTGATGAGCTGGGATTGTCCAGGTGAATATTCATGTCTCCAAGGACCATTGTGGGACAGTCGTGCTCAGGAATGGAGGAAAGCAGGGTGTCGAGTTCATCAAGAAATTCTCTGAGTTGACCTGGTTAACGATATATGACAACCAAAAAGAATTTTTTCGGTACAGTCACCTGGATGGCATGGTATTCAAAGGAGTTGTACTTAGTGATTGGTAGCAACTGACTATATATCCATTTATTGGAAATTAACATGCCCGTTCCACCACCTCGGCCAGATGCACGAGAAGTGTGGGTGAAAGTGTGGTTAACTGACAGAGCAGATGGGGTAGCATTGTCACATGGTTTGATCCAGGTCTCAGTGAGAGCCAGTGCATCGAGTGACAAGTGGTTAGCATATGCAGTAATGAAGTCAGCTTTGTTTACAGCTGATTGGCAGTTCCACTGTCCCATGGACAGGTGGGTGTCTTCAGGGTGTGTGGTTTTAGCGAGCAGAGGTTTTGAAGGTTGCGAAAACGGTTTGCTGTGTGTGACCTTCCTCTGATGCTAGTGATCGCAGGTATAGGATAATGGTACATTTCGCTAGGTGTTGATGGAGCAGCGTCTGGGTTGTGTTTGTTTGCTCTGAGTACCTGCTCTGTGGAAACGCGCAGGTAGACACGTATGTCTTTACCCCGGAGTGTCTTCACACCGGAGGGGCTGAGACACAAGGGCTGACGCTTCAGTTTTGCCACCAAACTTATGCTGTGCTACTAATTAGAAACAGGTGTTCATGCAGCAGCTGATTGCAATGTTTGAGACCTAGATCACCTGATGAGTGCTTTCAGGGAGAACAAAACAGCTCGTTTACAGCCTCTGATTGCACTTATTGTTTTCAACTGGCCCAAACCGGAGCTACTAGACAACAGGATAACCCACAGATGAGTTTCCTTCTCTTTTCCCAATGGAAGATAGTGCAAAGCAAAAGTTTAAGAAGACAAAAACAGGCACTAACAGACACTCAAGGCCCTTCGGTGCAGATTCAAGTGCAGATCACCTTCGGTGCAGATGGAACACAGCCTTGGCTCAGTGAGCTGTTGATTATAGTCAACAGAGATGACTGATAGAGGCAAGGGACCCGACTAAAACAGAGGGAGTTAAGATATCTGATGAGCATGATGAGAGTTTCATCTGACTGATTATTGAGGTTAAGTCATTTAGTGTAATTGGGGAGAAGGAGGTGAAAGACTCGGAGCACTGGGGGACCTCCCCTCCCGAGGGGGCGAGGGCTGGTGGAATGCTGGATCTCAGATTCAGCACCTTGTTGGCAAAAAAGTGGAGAAATCTGTTACAGTCATCAGCTGAAGATAGCTGAGCCTGCTGCGGAGGAAAAGACACGATGCTGGAGATGGTATCAAACAAAACCTTAGGATTATTCTTATTTTGACATATGAGGTTGCTGAAGAAAGAAGACCTGGCATTTTCTACAGCTTCGTTGTATGACTCTAGAAGTTCTTTAAAATATTTGCGATGAACAACCAGACCTGTCCTCTTCCACCGTCGTTCCGCTTTTCTATAGGAGCGTCTAAGTTCAAGAATCTGGTTGTTCAGCCAGGGTGAACTCGAGGCACTGGAACTGCGGCTGGTTTTGTAAGGGGCGACCTGATCTAGAATTTTGAGGCAGTGATCATTAAATGAGTTAGTAAGGAGCTCTACGTCATCAGAGGAAGGAGGTACAAAATCAAAGAGGGAGGAGAAATTTAAAATGGCAGAACTGTTGATAATACGTCTTTGCTTTGCAGAGACTGGTAAAAGAGATTCAGAATTTAGGTTGATATCAAAAGAAACTGACTTATGGTCACTGAACACAACATCATTTATCTGCAGTTTATCAATAAGAAGTCCGTAGGAAAAGACCAGATCAAGGGTGCAGCCTGCTCTGTGAGTGGGACCAGACACGTGTTGAGAGAAGTTAAAAGAGTTCATCATGTTTAGGAACTCCCTAGTGGAGCTGTTAGATAGATCCTCAGCATGGATGTTGAAATCTCCAACAATGATTATCCTGTCTAGTTTAACAGTTGAAGATAGGAGGTCCTGAAAGTCAGACAGGAAGGATGAAGTACATCCAGGTGGGCGATAGACCAGAATTCCATAAACTGGTTGAACTCGACCAATTTTAATCATGATCATCTCGAATGAGCTGTAGGAGTTTGAGGATATAGTTTGGCACGAAAAGTGTTTCTTAAAGATAACAGCTGTTCCTCCACCGCGGCCTGTGATCCGTGGAGCAGAGAAGAAAGAGCAGTCTTGAGGACAGAGCTCACGGAGATGAGTGACATCATTTTCGCGCTGCCACGACTCAGAAATCCACAAAAAGTTTAATTTTTTGGGCCGGAACAGATCGTTGAGGATGTGAGACTTGTTGGCGATGGAGCGCGCGTTAATCAACATCATTTTCGCGGAGGAATCTGGCGATGTGTGTGCCGCGGGCGGCTGGCGGGCTAAGCTACGTAGCGACTCCAGGCTACGCCCGCGGTGGTTCTTTGTCTCCCACGCCTTCAGGTAGCGTCCCGCATCAGGGGCTCCATTTAGCAGCGAGATCAACCCAACTCCGTTAATTTTCTGTTGGATCCGCCACAACACAGCCGCGGAGCAGCGATCAGGCAGAGCGTCGCCTCTCAGGATCTTTCGAAGCTGAACGAAGAAGCCGGCTCTCTTCCCCCATTTCCTCTTCCATTGCCTCATGGGCAGCGGCAAGCCGACAGGTAACAGAGGGCCGAGATCTGGGTTAACGCCAGGTTCCAGAGGCGGTGGGAAAGCCGGTCCGGTATCGGAGTTCTGGAGGTTGATCATCGCGGACCTGATCGACAACAGTAAGTCTCGATCATATGTTAGTAGGGACTCCGCACCAGATAGAGAAAAAACAATAAAAAACAACGAGTAACCAAAACAGATCAGGAGCCTAGCAGACGCACAGCCACCCATGGGCGCCATCTTGCTGGAGATAAGAGTATCAAAGCCTGTTTTGTTACAGATTCAGACTCGCTTCAAGGGTTTTCATTCAACCAGACATTATATAAGCTTAAAAAGTACTTAAAAAGTATCTGTTTACTGGTCTTCCTGGAGAAAAAAAAAGCTTTTCTTTTGGTTTTTGTCCTAATGAAGACTATCTGGTAGCTCTCAGCATACCACTTTATCAAAGGTTTTAGTGAGTGTGGAGTTTTCATGACCAGTAAAACTGCTTAATATTGATGAATCCAGTTGTATAATAGGGCAGGATTTACCTTTAATTGTGCTATTGTCTTTGCTGAATAATCAGTGAGCACCACAGTGTTTAGCGGGTTAAATAACGAGGCTTTTTTTTTTTTTCAGCTGAACCTCACTTCAGTGTTCCCTGCTTTATCTCTGGCTATTATCAGCCCACCCTGCTGGGAAACAGATAAAAGCCCAGCTTCACAACTGGTGCTTAGATATGTTGCAAATATATATTTTTAGCTGTTATGTATCTCTCTGGCTTGCATATCTCTCTTTTTTTTATTCCATATCACACATTACAGATTGGTGGCTCATATGTGTTAGCTACCTCAATGTGTTCTTAAATCTGTTACAAAAAGATAAGTTACTGCAAAGTGCAACGTTTTAGAGCTTTTATTATTCGTTTCAGCCGGTAAAACAAAACTTGCACTGGGGAGGGTTGTTCTTTCAAAGGTTAAGATTTAATTAAATATCATAAAAAGTTCCAGTTTTGGCTCAGCTTCTTGTTTGATGGAGAAATGAAACCAGATGATAATAAAACAAGTAAATGTCACGTTGGCTCCCGTTGTACTTCATGTTGAAATGTCTGAATGATCCTGCTCAAATCAGCAGAAACAACGAACCCTAATTTATAGAACTTATGATCTTGTGCTGCCTTTTAAAGACAGTCAACAGGTGGTTCTGGAAATGGGTAAAGGGTGAAAATTACGCCACGCAAAAATTGAAAAAGAGCATGTGACAAAAGCCGAACACGGGGAATATTTTATAGAAAAGTCTTGATGCAGAGATTTCTGAGATAATAAATAATAATGATAAAGAAAGGTTTGTGCATTCTCCGAACTAGCATGAGAACACAGATGCGGAAGCCCTTCACACATCACTGTTCAGTGTCTAAAACAGACACCAAACTACAGGGCAGCCGCCACACAGGAAGTTGTTTTAGGTTACTGCAGTGGGCTGCTCAACTCTGATAGGTAACACTCGAGTGCTTCTGTCTGCACAAAAGGAGCAGGTGATTACCAGAAGCACAAACCTAAGAGGGGCACTTTTCTAGAAACTCTCTGATGCAGATGTGCTTTTTGTCTTCAGAAAAAGTAGGTAACTTCTATTTTTCTTTAACTGACGTTTGTTCTGCTGAGTTTTTGCAAAGTGAAACGTGAACGTGTGTGTGGAGTAAAAGTAGATCAAACGTTTGAAAAGGTGAAGCAGTGTTCTGCTAAAGATGAAACTTCTTTTGATTAATGCTCAAAAACAAATGATAGGTGGGGGGTTCCTCGGGGCTCTGTTTTGGGCCCCCTGCTGTTCTCCCTCTATCTGCTACCGGGAATGTTGTTTAAAAAACATAACATTCATTTCCATCTCTATGCTGATGATTGTCAGCTGTTTTTTCCTGTTAAACAGGGGGCCAGAGGTAGCATACAGCAGCTGATGAATTGCCTGCATGATGATACCCAATGGATGGGGTCCAACTTCCTGTCTTTAAATGAGGGAAAACTGAAATAATAGTTTTTACTCTAAATGATCCCAGCCCCATGGATTGGACCTTTCATCGTTGCTCCCCTACGAGAAGTCCGCGATTACAGACTTGGGTGTCAAGATAGACTCTGATTTGATAGTCAGGTGAACTCTGTTGTTTGTTCGTGTTTTTAATCAGTTAAGGCGCTTATCTAATATTAAGTCAATCTTAACAAAACAGGCGTTGAAAACTGTAGCCAATGCTTTTATCATCTCTAGGCTAGAGTACTGCAACTCCCTGTATGCTGGCTTGAGCCAGTCCTTAACCCTCTTAGGCTCAAAATAAGTTTTGATAAAAGGACGAACAACTAAGTCCTTCAGGGGTACTTCTGAGTTAAAACATGCTCATGAAATACGTATGTGGAGTAACCAGGCAGATGGGTTTTAACTGTTGAAAATCTGCAACGCCTGCCTCCAGAGGGTTAATGACTCAGCTGCAGCTGGTCCAAAATGCTGTTGCCAGATTTCTGTATGGAGCACGTAAGTCCTCCCCTGACAGCTTTGGACTGGCTACCGGTGAAGAGTTGCATCTTGGTAAAAATCCTGGTCCTTGTTTTTCAATCAGCCCCACCTTATTTAGCCTCCCTGCTGACCCGTTACGTTCCTGCAAGATTGCTATGTTCGGGTCAGAGTGAACTTTTGGTGGTGCCGCGATCAAAGCGTAAGTCTAGGGGTGATCGTGTCTTTGCAGTTCTGGGTCCTCGGCTTTGGAACCAACTCCCACAAGAAATCAAACAGTCCACATCGCTGCCCACTTTTAAAGCAAGGCTTAAGCTGTATTTAGATATGTTTCTTAGTTGTTTTTAATTCACATTTTAATGTTTTTAATCACTATTTTAATTGTTTGTAGCTCTTTTTTTTTGTTTTTAAATGTTTTATCTCTGTGTTTTATCATAGAGGTGTTTTATTGTGCTGCTTCTTTGCACTATTTTCAGAACCTTGGACCCCCTAGATTGGGGTGGAAAGGGGCTTCATATATAAAATGACTGATTGATTGATTGATTGACTGATTGATCTAAACTGTGATGTAGCAATTTAATTTCATTATACAGCCATTATTGAATTAAGCAACAAAATCAACACTTAAAATGACCAATCATCATAAACAAAAGTAATCAAAGGATCAGATTTGATACTGCTCAGAGTTCCCTCCAACTTTTATGATTAAAGTTTTAAAATATATGTGGAATTTTATTTAGTCAGTGTTTTAAAATACAACACACAAACGTAAAAATGTAATAAAACCACATTAAAGAAAATAAACTAAAATACTTTGAAAATCTGTGCAATACAAATATTTACCCTCCAAGCATTTGTGTCCCATTTTAATGTTTCAGATCAACAAATTTCAATACCAGAAAAAAGATTACATGAGTAAATAAAAAATGCTATTTTTAAATGATTTATTTTATTAATGGAAACAAAAAGCTATCCAAACCAACCAGTTCCTATGTGAAAAAGGTAATTTCCAGCTCATGTTAAAATAATTTTGATCAACCGTTTGGAAAGTTGCGTTAGGTTTCACTGTTTCTGCCAGAACTGTAAAAAAATCTCCTCAATAGAAACTTTCTGACATGAAGTTTGCTAAAAGATCTCAATGGCAACACATCGCATCTACCTCTACAGGAATCTAGGAACAAAATTACCCAAAACACCGTCACTGCAAGCTTTTCTTTGTTTGGGTTAAGGTCAAAGGTCATGATTAAGCAAAATGTTGGAGACAAAAGGCATCTACGTGAGAATTCCAATTCCAAAAAGAACACAAGAGCCGTCTCACATTTGCCCAAAAAATTATGTAGATCACCCCAATTATTAGAAATAGGGCTCAAACAGTGATTCTTGGTCCAGGTTGGTTTAGATCAGTGGTTCCTGAAGTTGGAGTCAGGACCCCACTATGGAGGCTTTAGATGGTTGAAATTAAGTAGAAAAACATGCTGAAGCTCTATTTCTAGTATAATTGTTACAAAAAACTAAATTAAATAGTCATAAATGGATAGAAGTGAATATTAGTTGAAGTGTTTTTTTTATTACCTGAATTATTCAGCTTTTAAGCATGTTTGTATGGTTGAATCACAGAAATCTGAGATATCTGGGGTCATGTGTCCTTAAAATGCTTATTTTGTGGGTCTGAAGCTGAAAAGTTTTGGAACCACTGTTTTAGAAAAATTTAGATGAAAACTAGCTTTTGTATTTATTCAGCTTTTTTGTCTGATATTAAATTTTGTGTATTGATCTGAAGCCTTTAAATGTGACAAAAACAAACAATATAACCCTGTAGATCACCTTACAAACAACACATTAAAAAAAACACCATCTAGAGCACTGCAAGCTTTTGTTTGTTCGGGTTAAGATCAAAAGTCACGATTAAGGTCAAAGGTCATGATTAAGCAAACAAGAAAGTGTTGGAGATTTTTATTTCACCTGTATACCCCATTTGTAAAGGGGTACACAGGTGAAATTCAAAAAAATTGAAAATCATGCAAAAGTTTGTTTATGTCAGAAATCCAACTTAAAAGATGAAACTAATATGTGACATGGACTCATTACATGCAAAACCAGGTATTTCAAGCCTTTATTGGCTGTAATTGTGATGATGAAGCTTGTTGTCACAACAAATACTCTACAGCATTTCTACGGAGCTGGAGTTTCTTTTCTGCCTGGTCCCCGATGCTAAATCCAGAAATCTATTCAGGTTCCTTCTCATACACCTCATCTCACCCCACTTCCTGTAGGAAGCTGTGAAAAAGTAGCTAGAGTGAGTTCTGTACCACACAGCCTGAGACCATCTTCCCTTGGGACTGTAAGTTGGTGGCCTGTTACTTCTGCTGGCCTTTTAAAATGTCCCCTGGTTGTCACTAGAACAGCACTGCCTTCTATTTTAGGTTGGGCTGCTTCCTCTTTGATTTTCCTTCACATCTAAATGGATTTAAACACCAAAACCTGTCTGTAGTTCCATCCTGACCTACCTTCAGAATATTCACATCAGACAAGACTTTAGATCATTTACTATACAAAGCATTTACTCAAATATTTGAGCTAAGGCTGCGATTTTAACCCTTTAACAAGTCAAGTCATCTGAAAATCACACGTCATCGTTTGTATTTCCGGTCACTACCATGGATGATTTCAGAAGAAAATGCTTTGCATGCAGTTTAAAGATGAATTCCAAAGCAAGATGTTGACCGTGATTGTTCTTATTGACACTTTTTGTTTGTTATTGATGTAAAAGTCAATCATGTTTGAAATGAATGCTTCCGGTCATAAATGAGGAGTCTAACTCATCAGAAACCTGTGAGATATCAGAGATAATTATATTACTTTTTAGCAGAATTATTTTATTTATTTTCACTCTTTCCTGATGTGTTTACATGTTAACCCATCTGGATTCCTTTTCCTAGTGCAGATGGTGGACTGTAGTCCTGATCTGTACTCAGATTACATCTTTAACTGATGTACATACAAGAGAAATAGGATAAATTTGACTATTATGTAATAGTACATTTATGAGAGTCTCATTACATTTTCTTTTCTATTTGACTTACTCGATTTTAATGGATTTAGTTTTTATATTTGATTGTTTTTATTATGTATTTTTGTTCAGCACTTTGGTCGGCTCTCATGCCGTGTTTAAATGCGCTATACAAATAAACTTGGTATGGTATGGTACACGTAAAGCCAGATACTTCAAGTCTTTACTTGTTATAATTGTGATGTTTTCGACTTCCATCTTAATAAAACCCACATTCAGAATCTTTATATAATCTTAAACTAATCAAAGCAATCAGGTTAAAGAGAACAGTGAGCTTAAAGTTACAAGTTGTTTTGTGTTTACAGAGGAAAGATTGAACAACAATCACATTTTCATCAGCTGATGTTCTTTAGTCAAAAAAATAATCCTAATTCGTTTTGGTTTTAGGTGATAAAAGATCAACTGGATTAACTTGCTTTATTCTTAAATTACTCATTTTGGAATTTCTATGCTTTTCTCACACTCCCAAATAACACATTTAAATTAAACATCACATTCCTTTTACTGTAGAATAAAACAATTTCACAATCTTAAATCAGTTGTTTTTCCTCTGCTAATGATTCAAAAAATGTCATTTAGACTTTCTTAAATATGAAAAAGTCAGTGTCTGAATCCAGGGGAAAGCAGCAGAGAACCACAGCGCTGATTTGTTTTAAATAAAGAGCTCATTCCTCTGAATGTCCAACTGCTAAGGAAGACAAATCCAAAAGTAAACTGTGTCGGAAGGACACATTCTTTAGCGCAGCCGCGACTAATGATGTTTTTTATTTCTGCTTCACCCCCTAGTTAGCTGCAGAGAAGGAGTTTGCTGAGATAATGGTGAGTTATGGTGCTCGTGCTCTGCTTTCACACCAACTTTCTCAGGGGAAAACTTTGGGAATCGGAAGTTGCAGAATTTAGTTCAGAATGAAATATTTATCTATTCATATAAGCCGAGATCACATGGAGTCTTTGTATACGTTTTTCAACAACAAAAAAGGTGTTTTTTAAATGAACATTTTGTTTGTTTTTGTTAATTTATTTATTTTTTGGGATTGACAAATTTTAATTATTCTTCTTAATTATATTTCATAAAAGGTGCACTATTAAAAACATGTTGTTATTTAAAGGAAATGAGCAGACAAATGTGTTACATTTAGATCTATGATTATGCTCTATTGAAATCCTGATAAACTATTTGGCTTTTCCCACAAATAAATATTAATTTAACTCATGAATTTAACATTTCAGCCATACACATCAAAATCTTCAGGTAAAAAGATTATGGTTACCTAATAGTTCACTATATTTGTGCACAATCAATTTTGTTAGTTAGACCAATAGAATAGTGAACTAGACCCAAAGTGTACTTCTTTGAGATGTTTGGGTTTAATTTAAATTAATTTATGTAAAGTGAACTGGACACAATGCAGCTCTAGGTTTTTAAAAAACAGACCCACTTTCTCTAAAACTATATAATTAATAAAATGAAGTGTGATTGTGTGTGTGTGTGTGTATATATATATATATATATATATATATATATATATATATATATATATATATATAATTCCTGATTGAGTCAGCTTTGACCTGAATGTTGCATAATTGCTCAAATTAAATATGAGTCCTTTACAAACCACAAGACGTGTGAAACATTTGAATTCTGTGATTGGACATCATTAACAATAAGAAAATGTTTTCAGAAATGTGAAATAATTTCCCTTCCCCTTTGGAATATGTGACATTTCTGGGACGATATGAACATCTTAAAATAATTGTCTGTAGATCGGATGACATGAAGAGGAAGAAAAAGCAGATTAACTGTGTGACAGACTCTTGTAGAGATGAAAAGATGTAACTGTCTCTTCACGGAGCAAAAACGAAAGCCAACTATGACATGTGACTATTTCAACAGTATAATGGAGCCTGAGTATGATGTGGTGGATGACCAGGAGGAAGTGCTCAGAGTGCACATTCTGCCTGCGAGGCCTATAATCGAAGACCAAGCGTATGCAGGTAGTGACACACGCTTCTCTATCATTCTGATTTTACTTCCTGTGTAAGCAATGTGATTTAGCAAATCTGCTGTCAGTTAGATCTTCGCCTTTTAAAACATTTTGATGTTTGATTAATTTAGTTTTAAAAATACATTAACCCCTCCTTATGGATTTTTTTTGGCTTTATTTAAATGTGAGTTGAGGATAATGTGAACGAGGACGTCTGATTCTGTAATTATCACCCTCAGTTTTAATTTAAAAGCACCTAATAAACTGATAAAGGTTGCAAAATGGGGAACAACAAAAGCAGATCTCTGACACACCTAAACATAAATTTACATGAGTCTACTTTCTCCTAAAATCAAAAAAATATATAAAAGGAAAAGGTCAATAAATATAGCATTATTTCACAACCACTTTTAATGCCACTTTGCAACTTTTTTCATATTTTAAATAATATTCTTGAGCCAATATGTGCTAAAATGAGCCTTTACAGGATTAATGAAACCAGTTCATATCGCACCCTGTGGCCAGAATATCCATCCATCCATTTTCTATACCCAGTTATCCACACAAGGCCACAGGTTGGCTGGTGCCTATCTCCAGCAGTCTTTGGGCAAACACCCAGGACCAGTTGCCAGTTCACTGTGGGGCAACACAAAGACACACAGCACAAACAACCATGTATGCACACTCACACCTAAGAATAATTTAGAGAGGCCAATCAACCTGAAAGTCACATTTTTGACTGTGGGAGGAAGCCAGGGTACCCAGAGAGAACCCATGCATGCACAGGGAGAACATGCAAACTCCTTGCAGAGAGACCCCAGGATTTGAACCCAGGTGCTAACCACTGTGCCACTGTGCAGCCTGTGGCCAGAATATTCCACTTGAAGCTTCAGACTGGTGGCCGCTCTGTTGAGACTCCAGCATGTTTCCTGCATGTTTTAGATCATGAAAACAGCTGATTTGTATAATTTAGTGATGTACCACTCCTGTAGACACTAACAAAGGCTGGAGAGACACTTCAGCTTTTAGAATAAGGTGTTAAAAAGACGAACGCACCGCAAGGAGGTAAAAGCAAGCCAAAACGGCCTAGTTCCCTTATGTTGCACTTTATTTGACACATCAGGGCTGAGTTTGCTCTGGTAAATATAATTAGGATGAAACTAAAAAAGGTGCATGCAAAAAGAAAATTAAAAAACACCAGAATAAACATCTTTACTCTATGGTGAGAATGAAAGCGAGAGCTCTTGCTGAGTGAGCATGACATGCTCCTGGGCCATCTGTTGGCTGAGTCAGACTGCAGGGATTACAATTATCCAGAAGTGGAGGTGCAACTCCAGGTAGTGTGGACAGACTGTCTTTACTATCCTGCATGAATGTGGTCCACAGCCAGAGGCTTCACAGCTGCATGTCTCCAGCAACGTAGCTTTAAAATGTTCCCACTTAAACTCTTCTCCATCTGTGATCAATCTGTGGCTTCTGTGTACTGCTGCTGCAGGAATTCACATGAGAATACAGACTTAGGGCATTTAAAATGTGGGTCAACACCGAAACTACTGAGACTTGTCTCTTTTCCACTGCTGGTGTAATCATGGTTTCATTTGCTTGTCAGACAGGGATTGTTTGAGGCCATATCCGAACCAGAGTGTTTCATCAGTCTCCACTGTAAGCATATTTTTATTGTGTTTTTTTTAAATGAAAGTAACATTTTACTTGTACAATTGTTCTGCTTCTGTTCCATCCTTAACTCTGCTTTCCATTCAATCAGCGTAGGACCCCGCCCAGATGTCCAACCCAAGAGGTCCGAGTTCCAGGTAAACTGGAAGGTTGACTGAAACCTTGACCTGATCAGATGAAGTAGTTACGTCACTGTTCTGCAAAAGGAAAAAAGTGTGACACACTGTGCAGGAAGGCTCCAAATTCAGATATCTGAATCAGCCTCGCTAAACGTATTAAAGTGAACTTGATACATTTCAACTTTTAAGTGTCATTAGAGAATTTGTTTATTCTTATTTTTATTAAACTTTTGTGTTATTCAAATGTTTCCTTTTTAAAACCACTGCAATTTTGTACTTTTTTTTTTACTCTTTCTGGTTACATTTTACACATCTTTATTTTACTTTTTGATTTTTTTTTTAAAGGTTCAAGTTTAGGCTTTAAAGTGTATGTGTGTGTGTGTGTGTGTGTGTGTGTGTGTGTGTGTGTGTGTGTGTGTGTGTGTGTGTGTGTGTGTGTGTGTGTGTGTGTGTGTGTGTGTGTGTGTGTGTGTGTGTGTGTGTGTGTGTAAGTAAAGAAATACCCTCACACACACTGAAAAAGGGTCAAAGAAATGTATTTTCACTAAACTGGTCTTGGAGCAGAGATTCGGTGCAAAGTTCAGCTGTGAAACCTTTTTTGTACCTGGCAGGTATCTGATCCTTTCTACTCTGAAAGAAACAATACAATGGTGTCTGCTGTGACTGACCTATTTTTACATTCAAAAAGAAAAAAATGATGGGTTCTTATTTTTAACACTTTTTAGATGTCCCATTCACCACAAATCTATTTTTGATTGTCTGCATTTTGCTGTTAGTTAAAAATGCAGTAATTTAATAACCTACATAGGTGATGTTGTGGTTTTGCAGAGGCTGTGTAGCTGTCAGCTCGAGTACATTTACTTCCTCCCTGCAGATAAATTCACTTTTAACCAATTTCTCCTTATTGTCAAGACTGCCATTTGTGTAAGACATACAAAGAATGGAAATGGTGTTCCTTCATGGCCCTGGTGCAAACAGAAAAATAGTAAAATATTGCAAAATGTAAAATTAAAATGTGCATGGAGGGCAAGAGACCGAAGTCACCCACAACGCTCTTTGCTTTGTTGGTTCAGGCAGGTTTATTAAATGTCCTGGGGGGGAGGGGCACCAATTATTTTCTCACCTATGCTCACCATGCAATGCAGACATTCGACAGGATGTGGTGCCGCTGCTGTACCACACTGTGATGCCGCTGGCCAGGATACACTTGATGGTCCCGTGGTAGAAAGTGGTAGTGATGGGGGCTGGCTCTCTGGTTCTTCTAGAACAGAGGAAGTAGAGGTGCTGCTGCTGAGCTTTGCTGGCCAGCGAGGCTATGTTGCTGCTCCAAGAACGATCCCAGGAAATTAGTTTCTCATTCTCTCCACCAGCTGGCTCACGTTATATCAGTTTGACTTGTTGTCGATGTGTCCCACCATAGGGGTGTTGTTTCTAAACTTGACAAAGTCATTAATCAGCCTGTAAAAGCATAGAGAGCACATCGTGCTGGATGTCTTGGTGCCGACCCACTTGTGGTCTTTCACTCAGAGTTGTTTCTATAGACAGTCCCGTTTCTATATCAGCTGCTGAGGAATAATGGTGTTTAAAACTGAACTGAAGTCCCACAACAGCATTCTCACATTTAAGTTCCTAGAATCTGGGTGAGTGATGGCTAGTCTGATGCTACCAGACCTTCTGGCTCTTTCTGATCTCAGACCAGCCTCATCTCCTCCTCTAAAAGCAGCGTTCCAGGCTCCCAGAAACCTGTAGACCTCCCTCGTCAGCCAGGAATAAATGATAAATGACCCTCACTTGTATAGCGCCTCTCAGAGTAAGGACTCCAAAGCGCTTTACACTACAGTGTATCATTCATCCATTCACACACACATTCACACACTGGTGTTGATGAGCTACGATGTAGCCACAGCTGCCCTGGGGCGCACTGACAGAGGTTCCTATAGTTGACCCAAATTTTTATGGACACAAGGTTAAATATAATAAACTACTTTTATATCTTAAGTATATATATATAAAAAAAGGCATGAGTGAAAACAACTTTATCAACTAAGCAAGATTTTTTTAAGTTTAGGGAAACAATGAAAGTTTTCATAAGGAACCAACTGCTCTGACTTCCATAATTATTTTTCACTTTTATGATTTTCAGTCACAGGTCCTGCTATAAACAGAGAACTGAAGCCGGGGCGACGAAAGACCAAATTAGGTAAGAACAGTGAATACTTAAGAGCATTTTGGCTGTTTGACCTATGCCCAAATCTCATTTATTCCCATGTCACATGTGCAGATAGGAGACCAACACCTGCAGAGACAAAAGAACACGTAAACATATACTTTGATTATTGCTATAAACTGAGTGATTTATCTCTCATTAACTATTCCTTTTTTCTCTGTTTGTTTTTCATTTGCCAGGCCTCACAAAGGTAATTACTACTAATAATAATAGTTGTATTAATTATGACATTACGGAATGAGTTTATGTGTGGCAGGTGTTCACCTTTTACCTCAGAGTTACCCAACAAATTTAGTGGATTTGCTCTACAAGAGCCGTGCAGCAATGAGTGAGTACATGTTTCCTGATTCTTCTATATGGTAGCTGTTTGCTCAACTGGTCAAAAACCCAATGTCACAACCAGTACTGTGTAGCGGTGCTGCCATCTGCTGGTTACATCCCAGGATTGCAGATGCAGCTGTTAATCATGTCATACATTCTTCCTGTTTCAGCAAAGAACCAAAGAGCTGTGAAAAAGTAAGTAATCAAACATTCCTAACCAACCATTATATGGGTTCATACTTTACTGAAATTATATGAAGTGGTCCTGCATGGCTTCATTAAAGGTATTTCATTGTGTCTGTGAATTTAAACTTTGTTCCAGATCAGTGGTAAGAAGAAGAAAATATCATTTCTATAGCACCTCTCAAGATAAAAATCATGAGGTGCTTCGCAAAAATGTAAAAATATAAAAAGCATTTAGAAAATGTTTAAAAATGTATTTTAAATGAGCAAAAAGAGACAATTATGATAAAAAATGTTAAGAAAGAGAGAGAGTGAATAGGAAAGAGGGAAATCAGTGGATCCTGAGGAAGGTGGAATAGGTGGGGAGAGCAGAATAAAGAGAGAGTGGTGAAGAAGGTCCTACAAAAGCCAGTTTGAACAAGTGAGTCTTCAGCTGCTTTTTAAAGGAGACCACTGAGTCCACTGATCTCAGGCTCTGGGGGAGAGAGGTCCAGAGTCTGGGGGCCACAGCAGCAAATGATCTGTCACCTTTGGTCTTTAGCCTGGTGCTGCACAACCAGTAGGCTTTGATCACTGGACCTCAGGGACCTGCTGGGGGTGCAGGGACTAAGAAGATCACCAATGTAAAATGGTGCTTGTCCATGTAAGGCCCTATAGACCAGAACCAGGATCTTGAAATGAACCCTGAAGTTGACTGGCAGCCAGTGAAGCTGGAGGAGAAGCGGGGTGATGTGGTGTGGTATAACAATTCATTCAAGAGCCATGGTGAAAGAACTGGCCAAACCAAGGTTTACAAAGTGGCCTGTGTGTAGGGAGAGACAGAAACAATCATATATCTGAGTGCAGTTTCTAAGTCTTCTCTGACTTTACAAACCACGTCTGCTTTAAAGGAGAAAAGAGATGAGGAACCCTAAACTTCAGACATCTCTCAGATAAACATCAGCAGCTACCTGCCATGAAAATAAAGTTAGGATATCTATCTTATCTTCTCTAACAGATCTCACAATAACTAAACCAGAAAGACCAACTTCATGGTAAAATAGGGCAACAAATTGTTGGATTTTAGTCCATGATCCGGTCCGTGGCTGGTTGCAGCTCGGTCAGAAACGGTCTGGTCCAAACCTTCCTGGTTGTTTACTCACTGGGAAGAGACGCCCAGAGCTTTTCAACTATCTCAACCTTGGCAACTCACTTTAACTTTAATACTTAATACAATACTTCAATTAAAACGATTTATCTTGATTTAAATAAAAAAGCAAATAAAATAGTACAAGGTCAAGGTCAACTTTATTTATATAGCACCTTTACGGTTGCTCTAGCAACCCAAAGTGCTGAAAAAAACAATGCCATGAAATCAAACATGCTCCAGTAAAACATTAAAAATTATGGCATTAAAAACAAAGGATATGATAAAAACTATGAATAAAAGGATGAGTGTAAACACAGACACCAGTTTAAAATAAGACAAGATACAACAATAAAACTACAAAAAAACAGATAAAAGAGAATAGATACACAACTCAACTACTAAAAGCCAAGTCAGATAAATAAGTTTTTAGTTTTGACTTAAAATGCTCCATACTTTGAGTGGTCTTCAGTTCTATGGGCAGACTGTTCCAGAGCCTAGTGCCAGCCACTGAAAAAGCTCTATCTCCACGGGACTGTAAACACAAGCCTGAGTACAAGCCTAAATACAGGACTTCCCAGCTCTTTGGATGTTTCCAAAAGAGTCCCTCCTCATGGCTGACATCATCTAGTGCACGTGGGGGCAACTCACTTCTTTGTCAGGGCAATCCCTGATTGTATTAAAAACGAAAAGACTATGTAGACCATGACTGCATGATGCTATATGAGTAAACAGTGAATTATGTGGTGTCTGCGCCTGATATATGTGACTGTGTAAGTTTTAACTAGTTTATTGAAGGTCAGATAGAACCGTGAAGCAAAATGACCTAGGACAATTAATGCACAAGTAATGCAGCAAAAGCAGGTTCACTGAGAAACCACTTCATTATTATTATAATTTTTTTTTTATTATTAGTAACTCTGAGTTTAACATGCAGGCTGAACATGTCTCTTACCCTTATTTCCTGCATTAGATTCTGATAGAAAATAGACGGAAAATCGCTCATTAAAGAAAAGCCTGACAGATCTACGTCACACTGTCACCAAAAACATTCATAGACTCACCCATCTTGATTCACAACAGGGAATTGTTGTTGGTTTAGCATCCAGGAAACAGCAGAGAACATCTCAGCTAGTAGAAGTTAACCATTAGCATTAGCAACACAACCACACAGTGGAACTCCTCCAGGCTTGAGTTATTTGTGGAGATAAAACCTCAACGTTGCAAAGCAAACAGAGTCAGTGATAGAGTTGCATTGCTGTTAGACAATCAGAGGCAAAATGTCCAAATATCAGGAAATAAGACTCCAAATCCTGCCATCTAAAGATACTTTCACCTCCAGCTGGGTTCTCCATCCTCAAACAGGAGCATCTGGGCTTTTTTCCCCCAGAGAATGGCTTACAAGGCATTCATCCATTAAGAGAGTACTGCAAATGTAGTAAAACTATGAGTGAAGTTGACCTTTAAGGTCACGGTAAAACCCAGCAACACACACCTTCTTATCAGAATAAATGGTCCTAGATGGTTTCAGTTAATGAAAACTGTTAAATGGTTTAAATCTTTCAATACAACGATTATACTTAAAATAATTTATATAGTACATTTGCACATACTTTTTATGTATAAAATCATTTTGAATAGTTCATTCTAGATTTATTTAAACATAGACAATACATACAAACGGCATTACACATTAGAACAAAGCCATTAACTTTGCATGGAGGTCTTGTAGACTAAAGCCAACTTGAAAACCCAATCTTTAGATGGATTTAGAATAATAACATTGGTCATCTCACACTTACACAAAAATAAAAAAAACAACAATGAATATTAGATTAGCCAGAGCACATAGGGGAAGAAAACACCTAACTGCAGCTAAATAAGCTAGTTTGTTGGTGTAATGTGTCTTAATAAGTATTTTCTTCTCTTTGAAACTGAAAACATTTAATCTCTATGTACGGCAGATTACAGTATCTGAAAAATATGTCAGTTAAAAATGAAACAAAAGCAACAAAGAGGCTGAAAGATCTGATCCATCATCAGTCAGTGGATCCATTTATATTTATGCTTTTGTCTAAAGCGTCTTACAAATTTCCAGTATGAAAAGTTTACAGCTAATACCCCTTACACATGGTGTGTTGATGTGTTCAGCCACCTTTTGTAAATTCAACAAAAGAGTGAGTCAGTAGAAGAAGCTAGACTATAACTGCCATTTATCTCAAACAGCTTTGAGGAGCAGAGAGAGAGTATTTTAGGAGATTGGGAATGGGTTCAAGAGCAATAAACTGACTAAAAAGAAATGAATAATAAAGCATCTCAGTGCCCAATAAAACCCTATGAAAGACCCTCAGAAGGCCCAGAAGGTCTCTGCTCAATTCTACATAAAAAAATGTACAGATACATATTTTTTGTTTGTTATTTTTGCAGTAAAATATGAAGAAATTTGCATCAGGTTTAACTTTTGTTTAAAAGCATAATGTGATTTTTTTTTCTTTCCCAGCAAAGTATCAGTTTACCAAGAACAGGTAAGAATAGAGGAAATGTAATTTTTTTTAATGTCCATTTTGATACCATGTGGAATATGTTTGCAGGTCCACAGACTCCAACTAGAAAGGCTTCAGGCCCTCTGGCACATCAAAGGCATTCTATGGATTTGGAGACTCATGATTTAGACAAAAGGTATGATTATCAGTTCTCAGGCTCCTTTTCTGACGTTTTTCCATGTGCATAATATGCATGTTTTTCTGTGTTGTTTAGAGTGCACCACAACCTTGGTAAATATGTTGGAGATACTTTTTCCATCATTACAATTCTCCAGTAATAATATTAATGAATTGGTCTAATTAAAGAAAGAGTTCCATCAAGACGCCATCACCATGAATGGCCCCAAACTCAAGAAGACATGGACCAGCTTGAGCTTCTACCTGTGGAGAAGCCAAAGGTACACATGCTGCATAAACTAAGTAATCCAGATTGGTATTAGAATAAAGAATTGTCTTTATTATCTCAATCTGACTTATTTCTGACTTCTGCTGGCAGACCTACTGCAAGGAGGACTGGTACATTGGGGCTTGTATTCGCACAGATGCCGAACACGCCTTACACCTGGTGAACAAGGTACTTCAAAATAGTTTGAGTTTAAAATGCACATGTGCTGGTCATAAAATTAGAATACCATGGCAAAGTTATTTATTTCAGTAATTCTATTCGAAAAGTGAAAGTTGTAAATCAATACATTTGCATATTCAACTTTTTTTATTTCATTTATTCACATTAAAATCAATATACAAAACTAAATTACTAAAATTTCAATGAAAAGGGGACAGAAAGAAGAAAAACGTATGTTATCTGCCCCTTTTAACTAAAATAACATTAATACAAATGAAAAAACAGTATAATTCTAAATTAACTTTGAACAAAATTCTGGACTGGTTGGATAACACAATTTCAATTTATAAAGTGAAAAAGAAAGAAAAGAAGAGTTGTCTGTTGGCTGTGTTTATGCACCAAAGTATGCATACATATACACACACATACGTGTATATGATGTCTTGCAAAGCATTTCTGAGGTTTTTGTGGACTAAATAGTCAATATCAGAGCTCAGATTCTGTCAGTCCCCTGTCAGACTCTTTCTGGTCCCTGTTCAGCCACTTTTAGTCGGTTTGAGCCGCTTACATTGGACTGCCTTTCGGGTTTTGTTAACTCTAAAACCTGCTGGATCTCCCTTGGATTTGATGCCCTCTAGGCTTTTAAAAGTTTTTTTTTAATCAGTTGGTCCTTGGGTTCTTGCCATTAGTAATTAAAGCATTCACTGCCATTCATGAGAAAAGTCATCATTTTAAATCCAATCGTTCACTGCCAATGACACTAAGGTCGTTATTTGTATTTTTTTACTGTGTGGGCGTCGGAACAAGCCCCTGCACTGTGAGAACAAACATCCCAGCTCTAAAGCCGATCTTCATCCGTGTACGTCACACGTCATGTGATCAGGAAGCAGAAAATCCATGTGTTAGGAGATCATTTTAGGCTGCTGCTGGGAAAAAAAGTGAGGCACAAACCAGAAAAGATTCCGGCGATCACAATTTGACAACCGAGTATGAAAGAACGGATAACGCTCGAAACGAGCTGATTCTTCCTGATGTAAGAAGTGAGTCTACACTTTATTTTGGTTGTTTTGGTAGTTTTGGCATTGACATCATCATAGAGCGCAACGTTCTGTGACTCATGATAAAACAGTAAAAACGCTGAAAAACGCTGGCAGCGAAGGGCTTTTCTGATCAGGACATGGCTGGCAGTGAATGAGTTAAAGACCATGGTATCCCTGTTATTGATTGGTCAGCAAACTTGCCTGATCTTAACCTCAGAAAATCTATGGGGTATTGTGAAGAGGAAGATGCAATACACTAGAACCGACAATTCAGAAGAGCTGAAGGCCAGAGCAACATGGGCACTAATAACACCTGAGCAGTGCCACAGAGTGATCGACTCCTTGCCATGCTGCACTGATGCAGGCCAAAGGAGCCCCAACTAAATATTGAGTGCTGTGCATGCTCAAACTTTTCAGTTGGCCAACATTTCTAAAATTCTTTTTTATTTATTTACTTTTTTTTTGCATTGGTCTAAATTGACATTCTAATTTTCTGAGACACCAAATTTGGGATTTTCATTAGTTGTCAGGTAAAATCATCAAAATTAAAGAAATTAACATTTGAATTATATCAGTCTGTGTTTAACGAATGAATCTAATATAAAAGTTTCACTTGTTCAATGGAATTACTGAAAGAAGTCAAGTTTGTCATGATATTCTAATGATTAGCACCTGTATCTGAGTCAAGTCGAAATATTAAAATATGGGATTATTCATCATCATCACCTTTATTTACAAAAGCACTTTACAGACACATATTATGTCACCAAGGTGCTGAACAAGACTCAACTAAAAAAGATAAAAACAAAGAATGTATAGGAAACTAAATAAAAATGTCCTTTCTAGTTAAAAATGACTTCACTTTGGCCAGACGTTGCAAGTGGTAAAAAGAGGACGATACAACCGCACCCACATGCGCGTCAAAGGTGAAAGTGTTATCTAATGTCACTCCTAGTTGACTGCCGAAGAACGTAGGTAGGCATTCATATCCCTACAATCCAGTATTGATCGCTCTAAATCATGATGTAACCCAAACAGCACTGCCTCAGTCTTGCTTTCATTCAGACATAAAAAAAAAATTGTCCGTCAACCATGACTTAACTTCAGTTAGACCAGACCTGGGCATGTTACGGCCCGCGGGCCACATCCAGCCCTTTGTGTATCCTTTTCAGGCACGCGTGAGGTCAATAATAAATTACTAATAGATAGATTATGTAATTATATGTAGTGAGTGCAATACGACGGTGCTGCTTTTATTCTGAAAACCGCTACGCTACTTCCACATTGACGTATCTGCGTGTCGCGAGCTTTGAGTGAAGGTGAACGACCATAAATGATTAGCCTCAAGATGGCAGCACACGCTAAGAAGCGAAAAATTGATAACGAATGTCACGTTTTTAACAGGACATGGACTGCCAAGTACTTGTTCACAGAAATTAAAGGTAAAGCTGTGTGCTTGGTCTGTGGTACACAGGTCGCTGTGTTAAAAGATTACAATTTGAATTGCCACTACACGACCAAACATGAGGATAAATACAGAAACCTGTCTGAAAAAGAGCATGCAGGGGTGTCTGATGCATTGCTAGCAAAACTGCAAACCCAACAAGGACTTTTCACCAAACTTCACACCAGCAGAGAGGCTGCCGTTCGGACAAGTTATGTAATATCTCACAAAATCGCCAGGAAAAGTAAGGCCTTTTCTGATGGAGAGTTTATTAAGGAGTGCTTTTTGGACTCAGTTACACTGATATGCCCAGAGAAAAAGGACGCGTTTGAGAACGTCTCACTCTCCCGAAGTACTGTGACGAGGCGGGTTGAGGACATCGCTGAGAACTTGGAGCTTCAGCTGAAGAACAGAGCTGCAGACTTTGAATTTTTTTCTCTGGCTTTGGATGAGAGCTGTGATGTGCGTGATACCGCCCAGCTTCTCATCTTCTTACGTGGAATAACTGCAGACTTTCAAGTCAAGATTTTTTTGTAAAGAAAGGACATGCCGTCCCAGAGCTTTCAGATGAAGATTGGGTGGCGACCTCGGATTTGCTGTGGATGTGACTGCACTAATGAACCAAACTAAATGTCAAACTGCAGTGCAGGGGACTTTTTGTGCATGAGATGTACAGTGCAGTAAAGGCTTTCATGAGGAAGTTGCAGCTTATCTCAAACCAAGTGAAGGACAACTTTCGGACCCACTTGCCAACACTAAAGGAGGCTATTCCAAATGCCAATCACCTCCACAAGTACTCAGCCATGTTAGAAGTACTGCATGCAGAGTTTTCAAGGCGATTTCAAGATTTCAAAGCTCTTAAAAATGAAATGGACATGGTTTCTTCTCCCTTCACCTGCAGTGTGGATAATGCTTCAAGTGATGTTCAGATGGAACTCATTGACCTGCAGTCTGACACACTTCTGGCAGAGCACTTCAGGTCAGTCTCACTGCTGGAGTTTTATCCCTCCCTCAGAGAAGAGAACTTTCCACAACTGAGGAATCATGCTCAGAGGATGCTAGTCCTCTTTGGATCTATGTGTGTGAACAGACATTCTCGGTGATGAAGTTCAACAAATCCAAACACAGGTCCTCTGTCACTGATGACTACCTCTCAGCTGTTCTTCACAAAGCCACCTCAGCCATTCAGCCAGATTTCAATGCCCTTGTTCAAAACCAAAACAGGCTAGATTATTCTCACTGAAAATTTCACTTATTTCTCACTGAAGAAAACATGACACAAGTCATTGTATTGTTGCATTTCTATAAACTTCTTGTTTGTTGAGTTAAACATGTTAAAATAAAATGACATTGATTCGGTGGTTGTTTTTGTTTTATTTGGAATATGCGCCACAATTTCACATAGCATAGCCCAATATAAATATTTACATGATTTTATTTTAGTTTTATTCTTCTGATCACCACCAGCTATTTGTGATACATAATTTAGTGAATTTTACAATTTAAGAAAGTTAAGCAGACTTGGGTTCAAGATGTCGTTAATGTGGCCCTCTGATGCAACACGGGTTTTGTCATGTGGTCCCTTGTAAAAATTAATTGCCCACCCCTGAGTTAGACAGTGCATTAAGATAATAATGGGACAGTCACTTCTATAATCCAAGGGTAAGTTAAGTTGGCAATCGTCAGCATACATATGAAATCGAATTCCATACTCCCTCATGATGTCCCCCAGTGGCAAAATGTAAATCAAAAGCAATAATGGTCCTAATATTGAACCCTGTGGGACCTCCCCACCGTTAGACTCATATATACACTCACTGGCCCCTCTATTGGGTACACCTTGCTAATACCGTGTGTGGACTCCCTTTTGCCTGCAGAACTGCCTTGATCCTTCGTGGCATA